GTCTCTCTCTCTCTGGTCTCTCTCTCTGGTCTCTCTCTCTGGTCTCTCTCTCTGGTCTCTCTCTCTGGTCTCTCTCTCTGGTCTCTCTCTCTGGTCTCTCTCTCTGGTCTCTCTCTCTGGTCTCTCTCTCTGGTCTCTCTTCTGGTCTCTCTCTCTGGTCTCTCTCTCTGGTCTCTCTCTCTGGTCTCTCTCTCTGGTCTCTCTCTCTGGTCTCTCTCTGGTCTCTCTCTGGTCTCTCTCTGGTCTCCTCTCTCTGGTCTCTCTGGTCTCTCTCTCTGGTCTCTCTCTTCTGGTCTCTCTCTCTGGTCTCTCTCTCTGGTCTCTCTCTCTGGTCTCTCTCTCTGGTCCTCTCTCTCTGGTCTCTCTCTCTGGTCTCTCTCTCTGGTCTCTCTCTCTGGTCTCTCTCTCTGGTCTCTCTCTCTGGTCTCTCTCTCTGGTCTCTCTCTCTCTGGTCTCTCTCTCTCTGGTCTCTCTCTCTCTGGTCTCTCTCTCTCTGGTCTCTCTCTCTGGTCTCTCTCTCTGGTCTCTCTCTCTGGTCTCTCTCTCTGGTCTCTCTCTCTGGTCTCTCTCTCTGGTCTCTCTCTCTGGTCTCTCTCTCTGGTCTCTCTCTCTGGTCTCTCTCTCTGGTCTCTCTCTCTGGTCTCTCTCTCTGGTCTCTCTCTCTGGTCTCTCTCTCTGGTCTCTCTCTGGTCTCTCTCTGGTCTCTCTCTCTGGTCTCTCTCTCTGGTCTCTCTCTGGTCTCTCTCTGGTCTCTCTCTCTGGTCTCTCTCTCTGGTCTCTCTCTCTGGTCTCTCTCTCTGGTCTCTCTCTCTGGTCTCTCTCTCTGGTCTCTCTCTCTGGTCTCTCTCTCTGGTCTCTCTCTCTGGTCTCTCTCTCTGGTCTCTCTCTCTGGTCTCTCTCTCTGGTCTCTCTCTCTGGTCTCTCTCTCTCTGGTCTCTCTCTCTCTGGTCTCTCTCTCTCTGGTCTCTCTCTCTGGTCTCTCTCTCTGGTCTCTCTCTCTGGTCTCTCTCTCTGGTCTCTCTCTCTGGTCTCTCTCTCTGGTCTCTCTCTCTGGTCTCTCTCTCTGGTCTCTCTCTCTGGTCTCTCTCTCTGGTCTCTCTCTCTGGTCTCTCTCTCTGGTCTCTCTCTCTGGTCTCTCTCTCTGGTCTCTCTCTCTGGTCTCTCTCTCTGGTCTTTCAATCATCAAAGTAGACAGCAAAGTAATATAGAGAGAACCACCCTCTCGGCCAATCAGCTCTCAGCCAATCAGCTCTCAGCCAATCAGCTCTCAGCCCGAAGTGTCAAATAATCATAATTTTAAAAACAGCAAATATGTCTTAGATTATACGTTTTCCAATAGTTTCTTTCTCTTGGCACAAAGAAAAAGGTTCCTCAGATTTAAGACAAAGAAAATCCTAAAAGAGAAACGTACGTCAGCTTTGGAGCGCTGGGACGACCTCTCCAACACATCGTCGCACGACAAGTCTGAGTCTTCAGAAAAGCTCAAGTTTCGCCTCGACTTCAAATCTGCAAGAACAAGAATACATCAAATCACATGGGATTTATTTTCTTCTTGAAAATCTAATATCATTTTTTGTTTTCTCCCTTTTCAGAAAACTTGTGAACCTTTAATTGACTTTTTAAGGAAATAAGACGTGTATAAATGTTGAAATATTTAGATTTCATTAAATTCATGATCAACATTGTGAACTATGCACTTTTTTGCTAAATATTTGTGATTTGGTCATTTTCTGTTTCTACTTTATTATTGGAAAATGAAAACATATCAAGGCAATAACATCGCTAAGCAAAAGAAGACAATGAACCTTCCTAAACTAATAAATAATAACACAATGTGGTAAACACAGCCCACCTGACGCCCTCCCCGGAGATGACGTCTTTTTGCCCGAGTCCTGCGTGGTGGAGCTGGACGACGGGGTACTAGGGCACGATTTGCCCTCTTTCTTCTTCTTGTCCTTCTTGTACCCTGAGAAGACGGCCTTCCACAGGGACTTGTGTTTGGGCGGCGTTTCGTCCGAGCCCGACAGTCTGCTGCTGCTGTTTTTAACCTTCTTCTCCTTCTTGTTCTTGCGCGGCGAGAAGAGCGAGCTGCGCTTTTTGCTCTTGGTGGTGGAGGTGGAGCCGTCGGACGAAGCCACCGAGCTGTCCAGGCTTTTGTTGCTGCTGAAGAAGCGCTCGGGCAGAGTCTCGGCCTTTTTGTTTTCCAACGCCTTCACGGCAGATGTCCTGGGAGACCCGGGTGATTTCTTACTTTTGCTGGAAGCTTCCGGGGTCACGTTCCACGCCACTTTCGGTGAAACGCCCTTGTCGACGTTGGAATCTTTCATTTTGTGCAGCTGCTTGCTCATGGCGTCTTTCAAGGCTTGGCTCTTTACAGATTTCTCTCTCGCCCTCATTCTCTCCTCAGCAATCTCCTTGGCCTCTGGAGAAAATTGAGTTGCCCTCTGGGTCTTTGAGACAGGATTAACCGGGATATTGGGTTTACCGTTTTCCATCGCTAAGGCTAGGTGCAAGGGAGGCCGGTCTCTGCTGGCTTTGCTGGTGGGTGGAGTATAATATCTATTCATGCTTGATTCTGGCGTTCTCTCGTCGAAGCTCTCCTCCACATCATCAGCGAAAGGAATCTCTTCAACCGTCTCCACAAATGATTTTCTCACGTAATCCGGCCGACTCTTCTTTTTCTCTCTCATCACGACAGCAGGAGCAGTTTCAGTCTGTGGAGATGCAGCCTTCCTCTGAGCAGGTTTAGGAGCTGAAACTGGCCTAAGCTGAGTCCTGGGTGAAGGGATCGGGGTCTTTGTTGTTGTGGGCTCTTTTTGTGTTTGCTCGGACAGAGGCTTATCCTTCCCGTTGCTCCATGACGCCTGGTGCTTTTGTTGCCTGACCAGTGCCGGTGACTGGTTATTGGGCACTGGGGGAGGGGGGCTGGAAGGGGGAGTGAGCATGGCGGAATCGAAGGTGTTGAAGCCGTCGCTGTTCATCGTGTGACTGCCGTTTAAACCTAACCCTGAGCTACGGCTTGGATCTTTTCTCTCCGCTGCCTTGTTTATCTTTATGGGCGTGATGACTTGACCTTCCAGGGTGATGTTGATTCTGCGGATGACGGCGCGTCCGCTCGGCTTCCTCTGTTCTTCCGCTACTTCTTTGGTCTTGATGGGCCCTGGATTTGGCTCTGGCGGCGGCGGGCTCGTCACAGAACTCCTCTCCAGGATTTTACTGCTGCGGTCTAAAGGAGTCAAACCCAGACTCTTTCTAATCTCTGCGCTCTTGAGCCAGAACTCCTCGATGATGTCCGTCTTCTTCGATGGCGTGTCCTCGATTGAAGAATCCGCCGACCTGTCAGACGCTTCTGACTTTGGCGTGGAGGCGACGGCGGGGACTGGCTGGGTTCGGACGGGGGAACTGGACGAGAGCGGAGAACAGGCCTCGTGGCAGGGGATGGGTTGGGCACAGATGGGAGAGAGGGGGTTGCCGGTCAGGGGGCAGATAGAGCGACTGGGGTACACCGGAGATCTGGGCGCTGGGGTTTCGGGAAAGGACGTGGGCTGGGAGCAGATTGGAGAGCGGACCGGAGAGCGGACCGGAGAGCGGACCGGAGAGCGGACCGGAGAGCGGACCGGAGAGCGGACCGGAGAGCGGACCGGAGAGCGGACCGGAGAGCGGACCGGAGAGCGGACCGGAGTCCTGACAGGACATCCGTCGGGAGACTGCGGCTTGACAGGAGAGCTGACATGTGATCTGTTTGATGTGGATGCAGGAAGTGCTGCAGACACCGGAGAGGGAGTGGGGCGGTGGGCAGCAGAGACTGTGGCCACAGGGTAAACTGGGGTCTTTGCAGCTGGAGTCAAAGGAGAAGAGACCGTTTCCGGCGGTAGATAAGGATCCGAGAAAAAGCGGGAGCCGGGCGACTTTAACAAACTTGCAGGAGATATTCGATTTGTCTGCAGCAGATTAAAAAACATGTCAGTTCACCAGACTGTCAGAAAAGTCCACTTTAGAGCTGGGGTACCACATCTTTTCCCAATAAAACACATGAAGTTTACATTTTAGACTGGCTTCTTTAATAGGTTAAAGCCAGCTAACTGGTGATCTCCTACACGTGTTTTATAAAAGTAAAATGTTAAGGACAAACCAGAAAAGACCATGCTTTAACTAAATACAAAACATCCATTACACTCAGTTGTGTTCAATTTTTAATTCTATAGCCCTTAATCACAACAGCAGTCGTCTCAGAGACCAAAGTTGTCAATTCGCCAACAACAGCTCAGAGAATCCAACGGTTTGACCACAGGAATGCAATAAAACAAACACATAAAAGCCTTTGGTCCATTGGAATGTCCATAAATGTGCTTAAATGTCCCGGATCATCACAGATCATTTAAATTGCATATTTGTAAGAAAAAGCCCCTGTGAGCCACTATTAAAAAGCTGTGGGCTAAGAGCTGATTGGCCAAGGCTAGAATCTTTTTATCACATTAGTATCTGTTATTGAAAGTGAGGTACCCGTCTGTTCTGTCACTGCCATTGTTTACCTGAGGGAGCAGCTCTATGGGGAGGTCGAGTGGAGGAAGGAGCGCTTCATTTTCTCGAATCGAGTTGAAACTAGATGGCCCTAAAAGATCAAAACAAGTACATCGAATTATAATGTGAGATTTCATAACACTTTGAAGCAACTTTTGTTAAAGTTAAACTCATCATTCTATCAATGTGCAGAAGCCAGTACTTTTCCCTTGTTTTGTCTATCTGAAGGCCAAGCTACAAGCACACCGTGGAAGCTGCTGATTGGAGGTCTCCATGCCTCCGCTCTGTATAATACACTTGCATTCTATTGTTTCTGTGATCGTGTGCTTTGATCGTGCTGTCTCTACCATCGACAATAAAACATGTCTTCTGTCTGAATGTAAGACGCGATCCCAGACTATGTCATCTTCTTCAATAATGTTCTCGCTTTTGGCAGCAAAATGAGTTAACAAGGCTGCGACTCGTACCGTGACTGGAAGCCATCTCCACATTCTCAGATTTCTTGTTCTCCTCAGAAAGTGCTTCAGTGAGCTCAGACGGGCGCAAACTAGCCTCGGCTTCTGCGTCTGACGGGACGTCATCTGGTGTTCAAGAATAATGTTATTACTCATTGTATTGTTGCCAACTTTGTGTGTGTGTGTGTGTGTGTGTGTGTGTGTGTGTGTGTGTGTGTGTGTGTGTGTGTGTGTGACAAAGATGAAACTTAAGACCGTAAAAGAGAATGAAAGACATCATTATAAATGCAGCATGGAGGACGCGTACCCTGATCCATCTCTGTGCCGGGCTCTACATCCGGACTTTCTGCCTCTGCTTCAAGCTCGTCATCCTCGCAGGGCTCTGAAAGGACAACAAAGACAGAAATGAGTCAGCCGCCTCTCCAGCCTTTACTTAGAACCACACACACACACACACACACACACACACACACAATCCCAGTCCAACTTCACAGGAGCGCTCCCCAGCCCAAACCCCTACAGACTACATACGATATATCAGGCTGCTCACTGATACACAAGCTTTTTACAAGAGGTTTAAAAAAAAAAAGAAACATTTTTTTTTTTTTTAATGCAATATTCTCCGCAGCTACAACCCCCTGAGTGCAGTGGTGTGGTTTGGCCAAAGCGGTTCGTGAGCGGTACATGCACTGGTCCGAGTATAAGTGAGAATAAAGGAGGGAGGCTTCTGTTAATCAAGAGACGTGATAAATAAATGTGATTTAAAAGCAACAGCGGAGATGCCAGCGGTAATAACACCTTTGCAGCGGAAAATATTGCTCGACCTGAGGATTATGAAGGCGGACATTTTTTGAAATATGTAAATGTCACGGAGAAACATTTGAGAAGAGAATTGGACTGAGTAATGACACACAGATAAATAAAACCTCAGCAGCTCAGATTCAACCAAAAACAATTAGTGCGCAGTGGAAATATTGTTAATCATATATTTATCTATTAGAGTCCTCCTGACTCGAACCAGGAAGTACGACCACATTAGTCCTGACTAGAACCAGGAAGTACGACCACATTAGTCCTGACTCGAACCAGGAAGTACGACCACATTAGTCCTGACTAGAACCAGGAAGTACGACCACATTAGTCCTGACTCGAACCAGGAAGTACGACCACATTAGTCCTGACTAGAACCAGGAAGTACGACCACATTAGTCCTGACTCGAACCAGGAAGTACGACCACATTAGTCCTGACTCGAACCAGGAAGTACGACCACATTAGTCCTGACTAAAACCAGGAAGTACGACCACATTAGTCCTGACTAGAACCAGGAAGTACGACCACATTAGTCCTGACTAGAACCAGGAAGTACGACCATATTAGTCCTGACTAGAACCAGGAAGTACGACCATATTAGTCCTGACTCGAACCAGGAAGTACGACCACATTAGTCCTGACTAGAACCAGGAAGTACGACCATATTAGTCCTGACTAGAACCAGGAAGTACGACCATATTAGTCCTGACTAGAACCAGGAAGTACGACCATATTAGTCCTGACTCGAACCAGGAAGTACGACCACATTAGTCCTGACTAGAACCAGGAAGTACGACCATATTAGTCCTGACTAGAACCAGGAAGTACGACCATATTAGTCCTGACTAGAACCAGGAAGTACGACCATATTAGTCCTGACTAGAACCAGGAAGTACGACCATATTAGTCCTGACTAGAACCAGGAAGTACGACCATATTAGTCCTGACTAGAACCAGGAAGTACGACCACATTAGTCCTGACTAGAACCAGGAAGTACGACCATATTAGTCCTGACTCGAACCAGGAAGTACGACCACATTAGTCCTGACTAGAACCAGGAAGTACGACCATATTAGTCCTGACTAGAACCAGGAAGTACGACCACATTAGTCCTGACTCGAACCAGGAAGTACGACCACATTAGTCCTGACTAGAACCAGGAAGTACGACCACATTAGTCCTGACTCGAACCAGGAAGTACGACCACATTAGTCCTGACTAGAACCAGGAAGTACGACCACATTAGTCCTGACTAGAACCAGGAAGTACGATCACATTAGTCCTGACTAGAACCAGGAAGTACGACCACATTAGTCCTGACTAGAACCAGGAAGTACGACCACATTAGTCCTGACTAGAACCAGGAAGTACGACCACATTAGTCCTGACTAGAACCAGGAAGTACGACCACATTAGTCCAGTCCTCAGGTCTCTGCACTGGCTTCCTGTGGCTCAGAGAATAGACTTTAAAACAGCTCTGCTTGTTACAAGTCTCTCCATGGCCTCGCACCAAAATATATTAGTGACATGTTAGTCCCATATGAACCAGCCCGGACTCTGAGGAGCACAGGGACTGGCCTCCTGCTGGGACTCTGAGGAGCACAGGGACTGGACTCCTGCTGGGACTCTGAGGAGCCACAGGGACTGGACTCCTGCTGGGACTCTGAGGAGCACAGGGACTGGACTCCTGCTGGGACTCTGAGGAGCACAGGGACTGGACTCCTGCTGGGACTCTGAGGAGCACAGGGACTGGACTCCTGCTGGGACTCTGAGGAGCACAGGGACTGGCCTCCTGCTGGGACTCTGAGGAGCACAGGGACTGGACTCCTGCTGGGACTCTGAGGAGCACAGGGACCGGCCTCCTGCTGTGACTCTGAGGAGCACAGGGACTGGACTCCTACTGGTCCCAGGAGTCAGGGCTTAACATGGGGAGGGAGCATTTCAGATGAATGTAGCTAAAACCTCAAACAGTCTTCCTGAGTCGTTTCCTCGCAGCATTTAATGTACAGTGATTATTTCTTGATGCCTTGTATGATTTTAGTTTCCTCACTTATTTTTCTCAACACTATGACTTTGTTTGAGCCTTTTTACCAAACACTCACACATTCTAGTGAAATGTCTCTGTATCTAAATAGAGACGTTATGGCTTTGCTTGAGACGTTCCACAGCCTTTAACTAAACGACTCCACAGAGACCAGACCAAGTCTGAGGCTTTGCACTCACAGTGTGTGTGTGTGTGTGTGTGTGTGTGTGTGTGTGTGTGTGTGTGTGTGTGTGTGTGTGTGTGTGTGTGTGTGTGTGTGTGTGTGTGTGTGTGTGTGTGTGTGTGTGTGTGTGTGTGTGTGTGTGTGTGTGTGTGTGTGTGTGTGTGTGTGTGTGTGTGTGTGTGTGTGTGTGTGTGTGTGTGTGTGTGTGTGTGTGTGTGTGTGTGTGTGTGTGTGTGTGTGTGTGTGTGTGTGTGTGTGTGGTGGCAGACCTCCCACCACCGCTGTTATAATGAGCGCCCTTAATGCAGGAGCTCCGAGGTTTGTGTGGATAAGCACAGCTCTTCAGGACTTTTAACCCTGGCTTTCAAACACACTTATAACACCTCACATTCCACTCATTCATGTTTCTTGATGAAAAGGATTTAATGGACCAGAAAGAGCCGGTTTCAGCTTTGTGTAAGTGCCATCACAGGTTAGCGCCAAAGTAGGACTGGGAAAAGAGTGACGAGCGTACAAATATTACATCAGCACAATCCCGGTGTGAGTTTAAGGTTTGAAGTAAACGTGGAGAAAGGGTAAGTAGGAGGAATAGTCGTCCTGGAGAGCAGCAGTAAAATACATGCTGGTGAGTGCTGTTTGTGGGAGCTCTCGCATGCCAGAGGAGAAGGAGATTCTAAATTGGGATACGATGATCCCTTTAAACCTGGACTACCTCCGGACACGGACTCCAACCAGACCCTCACCGCCTCGTGTCGGGCTGAAGTGTGGGCACGGGCTACAATGAACCAGGAAGTGTGGAACAACGGAGGAGGATAGATCATGGACACAACATAACAGCAAAGTAATTAGACACATGGAAAAAAGAACACATAACACAAGACAACAATGGTCAAAGTAAACAAATACACCTTCTTCAGACGACCAATAGCAGCTCGTAAGAAATCAAAACAGGTTAGAGGTTCAAAGGACAAGTAATATGACAACATGGAGGAGGAAAAACACAAAAGTAAGGAGTATTACACTCCACATGCAATTTAGAAAGATGCAAAATAAAATAAAAATTACATTAGGGCTGCACGATTAATCGCAATTTTAGTGAACGCAAAGACTGCAATTATCTAACCCCTCAGAAAAAAATACTTACATAAATAAGGAAAATGTATCTTGAGTTCGGTGCCAGTTTAGCCACAATGAAGTTTTTTTTAGCTTTTTGCCTGATTTTAAGCAAACATTTATTTCACAGCGTGGAATGTTTTAGCTTGTTCCAACTTTCTTTGGAAAATCTGGTATTTAGTTAGTTTAGTCAGCAAACTGATTTACATACACAAACTTGTTAAACAAATGCATTTTTAAACAGAAGGATTGCTGTAAGACATTTGCCGGTGCAGCCCTAGAACATGAACTGCTCTGAAAGCAGCAGTAGTTGAATCCGTGTGGACGCTGAATGCTCGTCGGCTCCAGAGGGAGGGGGTGGGCGTTACCTGGAGGGGAGGGCTGGGAGCACTCTGAGGGGTGGGGAGGTGGAGAGAGTTGGGGTGTAGCGACTGCTGGGACCTCCTTATCCCCCTCAGACTGCAGCTGTGTCCCCCCCACGGCGGGAAGGGCTTGAGGATCCACCGGCTGCAGGACTTGTTGGATCAGAAGGTTTCTCGCTAAATGTTGTTTGTTTCATTGTCGTGTGAAATGGCCGAACATTGCAAAAGAACAGAGTTGGAAAAGAAGAAAGAGAAAAGGCAGGTAAATGTTAGAGGACGACAGAGACAGTTCAAGAGGTTTAGTGGAAGCTGCATGCACACAACTGCAAACAGTAAGTTCAACATAAACAGTTAGAAAAAGGAGAATCTGCTCATTACCAAAGCAAAGTCTTCTCTGAAAACACAAACAGCTATGGTACTTAGCCAATTAGAGTCAGAATGTGTCAAGCTTTTTCAAGCCATTAAAATATGTGATAGAATGAAAGCACACTCGGAAATATAGCACGTTGAATATGAGGCCAAACAAAAGTTAAAAGCAAGTATTTTTATAAGGAATGCTTTATAAATAAATGAAAACCGGAGCTAAAAATCACACTTGAACTGCAAACACACCAACAGGCAGTTCTGCTGATACCTTTAAAAGTACCAGTATCGTCTTCATCTGTCAGGTACTTGTCCAGCCAAAGGCCTGACTGGAGCTCTCTGTCCCAGGGGCAGTAATCGCCCTCTGACAGCAGGGGGAGACAGAGGCCACAACAATAGAAGGAACACAGGAGGTGGCGGTAACATGAAGGGATGAAGAGGAAGAAGGACAAAGTGAATGAGGCAGAATGAAGACATCAGGTGAAGTCGGAGAAGACAAACACGTTTAGACAAAAGAAAAAACCCCACGTAAAATTACCTTCACTTGACTCCTCCTCTTCTTCTTCATCCTCCTCCTCCTCTTCTTCATCCTCTTCGTCCTCGTCCAGCTCTGCGTCTCTGCTGACAGCGTCCTGGGCGTCCCCCTCTTCGTCGGGGTCATATCTCAGCTTGGCATGGAGCTCCACGGCCTCCTTCCAGGGAACGCCGCCCAGGTCTGAGGGGCTGTGAGGCCGCTGCTCCCCTTCCTCCTCCTCCTCGTCCTCTTCCTCCATGTCGGACTCCGAGCTGCTGTTGGAAGCACAGAACCCGGAGCGCGAGGAGTCAAAATCAGGTGGGAGGAACGCGAGCTGCTCTCAGACAGTCAGACGTCAGAACACAAACGAGATCCGGCGTGGCTTTTTGTCGAGTGTGGGATGCAGCCAACTTTTTATGTCAATGAAGGACAGCGAGACAATAGGATTTGAACTAATGCAATAATGCGTTGACAGTTGCAGAATGTGAGCTGGTCGTAGTAGAGTAGGTTATATTCAAGTATCCATCAGTGTTTGTTATTTAGCATTCACTTGTATGCACACAACTATGGTTAAATGCAGAAGGGTTTTGAGACTGGATCTCAATCATAGACTGTACACAGATGGACAATGCCAAACCTCTACCTCAGGGAAGCCTGAAAGAGAAGTGCTCGTGGACAAAGTTTTGCTCCTCCTGGATCTATCGAGTTATCTATTGACTGACATTTAAAAGTTGAGCTCAGTAGCAGTTTGTGTCACACCATTTTGGGGTTTAAAAATCTATGGTTTAGCGCTCTCATCGACCCTGGTGTTTATAGTGCGATATTGATATTGTCTTAGTAAATCCAAATACTAGTCCTAGCAACTAACCAGCCTTCTTTCGGCGTTAGCAGCGAGTGGGACTGGTGCTGCTCTCAGTGACTCAGCTGTTGCTACCAACACCATTTACAAACGTTTGGCTCCACATTCCCGCTCAAATAGCCTGAGTTAGCTCGAATCGGCCTCTTGCACATTCAGGCTAACTCTTTGATGACGTCAGCGCTTTGACAGTCCAATCAGGCTAAGACGGGGAAAGTGCTTTGTGATAATATCCTAATACATTTTGGGATAGGGCGACAGTAGCTCAGTTGGTAGAGCATTGGCCTTCAGGCCTGAAGGTCGTGGGTTCAATTCCCACCTCTACACCTTCTCCACCGACTCCCACTGATGACTGCTGTCGTTGTGTCCTTGGGCAAGACACTTAACCCCACTTTGCCCAAAGCCCCCACTGAAAGATCAAGGCTATGCTCACAGTCAGAGAGCAGCCGTCCTCCTGTGGACTCACCACCTGCAGAGGGTCAGTGAGGGGCTGGTGCTATGAGACTTGGGTGGCATCTCTGACTGCCACCCCCCTGACCCAGAAATGGATTAAAGGGTAGAAAATGGATGGAAATGGATGGATGGATGGACATTTTGGGATAAAACCATCTCTCGTTACAGTGAGAAATCAATGAGCATCTTCTGGACAGATGGACATCCATCCATCCATTTTCTTCCCCTTAATCCATGTCTGGGTCGGGGGGGGTGGCAGTCAGAGCACCAGCCCCTCACTGATCCTCCTGCAGGTGCTGAGTCCACAGGAGCTGAGATCTTTCAGCGGGGGCTTCAGGCAAAGTGGGGTTAAGTGTCTTGCCCAAGGACACAACGACAGCAGTCATCAGTGGGAGTCGTGAAGTAGGTCCTGAGGTGGGCTCGAACCCACAACCTTCAGGCCCAAAGGCCAATGCTCTACCAACTGAGCCACTGCCGAGATGGACAAATGTATCTTATTTTACATTATGTTCCATCAAACACCAGTGAATCGGCTGTTTCAGACAGAAATCCAGACACAGTTTTTGTAAATATTCGTTTAGAATGTACAATCCATATAGACCATGTGAGAAATATGAATCCAAATATTTACGATTTTCTTAGTTAATTAACCAATTATCATTTCAGGCTGATCAAAAACACCAAAGTCCAACGTTATGTTTTTCTACCTGGAGCCCAGATCTGCGGCGGTGGCCTTGTCCAACACGCTGCTGAGGTTGTGCTCCGCCAGCGTCTCCTCGGGCACCTCCTCCAGCTCCTCCTCCTTCTGCAGCGACAGCCGATAGTTCTCCAGCTCGATGCGCTCCGGAGTCCCACGCAGCCGCTTGGCCACGCTCGGCTCCTGCAGCCCGTTCACCTGCGCCGCTGGAACGGACCACGTAAAACAGCAGGTGAGACCAACAGGGACGCAGGGTTAAAAATACAGTGAAGGGGCAGGAGAAAGAGCGGAGAAAGGAGAAAAAGAGAAAGTCAGAGTTTAGAAAGTAATATAGGAAGTAGACGCCGACCTCTGCTACAGCTGGAAATTATATTTAACTTGAGAAAAGTGTTGAAGAGAGAAGCATCGAGATTCAGTTCGTCAAACAAGGAGTCTACAGGCAATTCCGTCAGTGAAAGCATACGGTTGGGAGGAATAAATCTGGCTATTTATAAATCATATGCTCAGGAAGTGTAAGTGAAAGAATATGCGTTGAGTGTGATGTTTCTAATCAGACTAACGAGAATGAAAATGAAAATGTAAATAGATTGTGTGAGGGAGAAAATGCCCAGGCCTTAATAATATATCTGATTATATTGCCTAACAGCCACTACATAAATGAATAATTATTTTTGTTTGTTTGTTATTACAGGGTTTTTATCGCTCGCCTTTTTCCATCTTGAGGAAAAACAACATCTGCAAAATCCACACGTTACAGAAACCACTCATGTATAATGTGGGTTCAAATATGTTCCAAAGTCCTAATCATTATGACTTCTGAGTCCTGTACCTATAACCATTTGGAAAGACAGGAAAGCACAGGGGAACAGCACTACAGCAGGTGTTAGATGAGGACGGGTCAAAGCAAAGCCCATAAAACAGCCCCACGACAGCGTTAGGTCCTGGTGAGAACCATGGGCACAAAGAGAAGATTACAGACTGAGAGACGTCCGTCTCATTCACACGTTGAGCTTTATATGGGTGATATAACTTAGTGTTGCATTTGTCTTTATACATTTTAAGATATTTGACCACCTAATGTATGTACCAGGAACTTTTAATACACATTGTTTATTCAATGTAAATGATATGGAAGAAATTGAATCAAGAAGAGACAGTGATGATGAGGCAGAGCAGGGCAGAAGTAGATGTATTCAGTGCACAGAAGGAGAAGGGAATGAGTGCCCCCTGGTGGCAGCTTCATGACAGTGTGTGGTTGAGGGTGGGCTCCCATCACTGCAGTACCTGAGGGCGTCTGCTCTGCTGCTGCAGCCAGAGCTCCTGTGGGACCATTGGTACGTCCCGGGGCATCGACAGTCGCTGTGGAGGCCGGGGATGGAAGGTGTTCCTGAAAAATTGACAATAAATGATTGTGGTGGCAGTGGTTTGTAAATGTTTGTTTAGAGGCATTTCCAAAGAATCACAGCCCTCTGTAGTTTCATGTGGCCCCCTGCTTTGCTAACCCAGTTGTCTTTGAGATCATACACACAAGGTCATTATCAATGTTTTCTATAATAATATGTTGTAGATTCCCTCTGTACCTTTTTTCAAATCCAGCCAACTTCAGCTCAGTCAATGTAGAATGGTGTACTGTTCCGCTGTAGACTTGTGCATACCATAGACTGTAGTGTATCACTTTTTTTTTTATTGCGTCACAAAAGGGTGCTAATGTAGCTCTGTCATAGCTAATCATAATGCTATGAACAGCCCAAATCCAGTCTTCATCATCTGGATGAAGACATTGATCAAGTGTCGGATCATATGCATTAACCATAAAGCTACAGCTGAGGGAAAAACAATGTCATTTATTGAAATGTAGTTAATGAATGCATTGAGCACCTTTGCAGGAGCGAGAGCAGGAGAGGGAGCGGGTCTCTTCCTTTGAGCGTAGCCCGACAGACGGAAGCAGAAGTGCGGCTTGCAGTAAAATTTCCCTAGAGAATAAATACAAAGTAAAATTCAATCATTCATTCATTTATTCACATCCTCCTCATCCCCTACATGCCCTACATCCCCTACATGCCCTACATGTCCTACATCCCCTACATGCCCTTCATCCCCTACATGCCCTTCATCCCCTACATGCACTACATCCCCTACATGCACTACATCCCCTACATGCCCTACATCCCCTACATGCCCTACATGTCCTACATCCCCTACATGCCCTTCATCCCCTACATGCCCTTCATCCCCTACATGCACTACATCCCCTACATGCACTACATCCCCTACATGCCCTACATCCTCCTCATCCCCTACACCCCCTACATGCCCTTCATCCCCTACATCCCCTACATGCCCTTCATCCCCTACATGCCCTACATGCACTACATCCCCTACATGCCCTACATCCTCCTCATCCCCTACACCCCCTACATGCCCTTCATCCCCTACATCCCCTACATGCCCTTCATCCCCTACATGCCCTACATGCACTACATCCCCTACATGCCCTACATCCCCTACATGCCCTACATCCTCCTCATCCCCTACACCCCCTACATGCCCTTCATCCCCTACATCCCCTACATGCCCTTCATCCCCTACATGCCCTACATGTCCTACATCCCCTACATGCCCTTCATCCCCTACATGCCCTTCATCCCCTACATGCCCTACATCCCCTACATGCCCTACATCCTCCTCATCCCCTACATGCCCTACATGCCCTTCATCCCCTACATCCCCTTCATCCCCTACATGCCCTTCATCCCCTACATGCCCTACATCCCCTTCATCCCCTACATGCCCTACATCCCCTACATGCCCTACATCCCCTTCATCCCCTACATGCCCTACATCCCCTTCATCCCCTACATGCCCTACATCCTCCTCATCCCCTACATGCCCTTCATCCCCTACATGCCCTACATGCCCTTCATCCCCTACATGCCCTACATGCCCTTCATCCCCTACATGCCCTACATGCCCTTCATCCCCTACATGCCCTACATGCCCTTCATCCCCTACATCCCCTTCATCCCCTACATCCCCTTCATCCCCTACATGCCCTACATGCCCTTCATCCCCTACATCCCCTTCATCCCCTACATCCCCTTCATCCCCTACATGCCCTACATCCCCTACATGCCCTTCATCCCCTACATGCCCTACATGCCCTACATCCCCTACACCCCCTTCATCCCCTACATGCCCTACATCCCCTACATCCCCTACATGCCCTAAATCCCCTACATGCCCTACATCCCCTTCATCCCCTACATCCCCTACATGCCCTTCATCCCCTAGATGCCCTACACCCCCTACATGCCCTACACCCCCTACATGCCCTACACCCCCTACATGCCCTTCATGCCCTACACCCCCTACATGCCCTACACCCCCTACATGCCCTACATCCCCTACATGCCCTTCATCCCCTAAATGCCCTACATCCCCTAAATGCCCTACACCCCCTACATGCCCTTCATCCCCTACATCCCCTACACCCCCTACATGCCCTACATCCCCTACATGCCCTACATCCCCTACATGCCCTACATCCCCTTCCTCCCCTACATCCCCTACATGCCCTACATCCCCTTCCTCCCCTACATCCCCCACATGCCCTACATCCCCCACATGCCCTACATCCCCTACATGCCCTACATCCCCCACATGCCCTACATCCCCTACATGCCCTACATCCCCTACATGCCCTACATCCCCTTCCTCCCCTACATCCCCTACATGCCCCACATCCCCTACATCCCCTACATGCCCTACATCCCCTACATGCCCTACATCCCCTACATGCCCTACATCCCCTAAATGCCCTACATGCCCTACATCCCCTTCATCAATCCATCTCTGGGTTGGGGCAACAGTCCACCAGCTTTTTCACTTCTTGTTTTTTCCATCCTGAAACATTATTCATAAAGACAGCCGGAGCAACAATGTCTAAATGAAGCTATCGACTTAAACCACAGCAAAGAGAACAGACTGAATGTGATTTCATTTAGTTTCTGAAGTTATAAAATTATAAAATATGAGGTAATAAATACTTGAGTTGAGAATTGAGTTCTCATTTTAAGGCAGACATTTCTTGTATCTTTTTTAAAACCAGATCATTTGCTTTGTCCCATTGGCAAACCCACGGAAGTCACAATGTGCTCAAATTAAGATACATTTTGCCAAATTCGAGCAATTTTGGACGTATTTTTTATCATTTTTTTGCAGTAAATTGATTCCATCTCGTACCGTCCTCCACATCGAAGGCGTAGGACGACAGCCTCAGAGTGGTGCCGCAGTAGTCGCACTTGAAGCAGCTGCGATGGAAGAACTTCCCCTCGGCGCTCAGCCTCTCCATCACGTACACGCGCTTTCCACAGAAGAAGCAGACGTCGCTGCCGCCGATGTTGACGGGAAACTCCTTTTTGAGGGAGCCCTGTGGAAAACAAATACACCATAATAGTCAGATTTAGCAGAGAGCGTGTCTGGGGGGGTAAGGAGCGACAAACAAGGCTGATGATTACTGAAGGAAAACCAACACACTACGGAGGAATCTGGAGTCTACCAAGTTGTGTTCGGGATAAATCTACAGAAGGTTAAGTTTAGACGAATTAAAGCACTGATCCGTCTGAAAAATAATTCTAAAAGATTTAAAATGACTTGAATTCGGGTGTATACAGTTGTTTTTGAGAGCTCAACAGTGCTTAAGACCCAGAGTTGTTCTCAAAAACCTCGGTGGACTAGTGTTGAAAAGTAGCACCTGTGATAAAACATTTACAGAAATGCTTCTGGTTCGTCCGATGTTATTGTTATGTCCATATTAAATAAATCAATAGTTTTGTTACAGTCAAGAACCTACATTTCATTCAAACCATTTTTTAAACTTTAAAGGACAACTCACCCTCAAATCCACTTTTTTTTTTGCTGATAAACGATATAAATGAGTGTCCAATAGTGTTGTCTACATATCCATCCATCCATCTTCTTCCCTTTAATCCATTTCTGGGTCAGGGGGGTGGCAGTCAGAGATGCCACCCAAGTCTCATAGCACCCCTCACTGACCCTCTGCAGGTGGTGAGTCCACAGGAGGACGGCTGCTCTCTGAGTGTGAGCATAGCCTTGATCTTTCAGTGGGGGCTTTGGGCAAAGTGGGGTTAAGTGTCTTGCCCAAGGACACAACGACAGCAGTCATCAGTGGGAGTCGGTGGAGAAGGTGCAGAGGTGGGAATTGAACCCACAACCTTCAGGCCTGAAGGCCAATGCTCTACCAACTGAGCTACTGTCGCCCTGTCTACATATCCTGGTCATAATTTTGTCACTTTGGTGCAAATTAGTTGAAAGTTAAACTTTCTGCCTAAAACCGTCTGTGAGGCGCCATCTGCTGGCGACCTGTATTACTACATTTGAATTTTGAATCTGGCGCCAACACTGGCGCGGCAGCAAGACCTGACGTCTGAAGCAAGACCTGACGTCTGAAGCAAGACCTGACGTCTGAAGCAAGACCTGACGTCTGAAGCAAGACCTGACGTCTGAAGCAAGACCTGACGTCTGAAGCAAGACCTGACGTCTGAAGCAAGACCTGACGTCTGAAGCAGGACCTGACGTCTGAAGCAGGACCTGACGTCTGAAGCAGGACCTGACGTCTGAAGCAAGACCTGACGTCTGAAGCAGGACCTGACGTCTGAAGCAGGACCTGACGTCTGAAGCAAGACCTGACGTCTGAAGCAAGACCTGACGTCTGAAGCAAGACCTGACGTCTGAAGCAAGACCTGACGTCTGAAGCAAGACCTGACGTCTGCAGCAAGACCTGACGTCTGAAGCAAGACCTGACGTCTGAAGCAAGACCTGACGTCTGAAGCAAGACCTGACGTCTGAAGCAAGACCTGACGTCTGCAGCAAGACCTGACGTCTGCAGCAAGACCTGACCTCTGCAGCAAGACCTGACGTCTGAAGCAAGACCTGACGTCTGAAGCAAGACCTGACGTCTGAAGCAAGACCTGACGTCTGAAGCAAGACCTGACGTCTGAAGCAAGACCTGACGTCTGAAGCAAGACCTGACGTCTGAAGCAAGACCTGACGTCTGAAGCAAGACCTGACGTCTGAAGCAAGACCTGACGTCTGAAGCAAGACCTGACGTCTGAAGCAAGACCTGACGTCAGCAGCAAGACCTGACGTCTGAAGCAAGACCTGACGTCTGAAGCAGGACCTGACGTCTGAAGCAAGACCTGACGTCTGAAGCAAGACCTGACGTCTGAAGCAAGACCTGACGTCAGCAGCAAGACCTGACGTCTGAAGCAAGACCTGACGTCTGAAGCAAGACCTGACGTCTGAAGCAAGACCTGACGTCTGAAGCAAGACCTGACGTCTGAAGCAAGACCTGACGTCAGCAGCAAGACCTGACGTCTGAAGCAAGACCTGACGTCTGAAGCAAGACCTGACGTCTGAAGCAAGACCTGACGTCAGCAGCCCCCCGCCCAGAGCTATATAAACGGCCCTGTCTCGTTCACGCCCCCTTTAGTCCTCCAGGCTACGCCCATTTAGAGGAAGATTTGAACAGGAAATGTGAGTGACGTAAGCTCCGAGGAGAGGGGGGGAGAACCACTTTAAACTTTAAAACATCTAAGTATTTGCTGTTTCTCATAACAGTTTTTTGGCCTCTGTAGATCTGTAGATCAGCCACCTTTGCTCTCAGCAGAAAGCGTCGTATGATTTCCTCAAAGGTTTGCTCTGGTGTGCACTCTCTGCTCCGTCTGCTCCACACTGGGCCAACTCACATTATTCCAACAAGGGCAAATAAACTGTATCTTGTAAGAAGATGGAGACGGCAGGAGGTGGCCAAATCTGTTCACAAAAATGTTCATTTTGCCGAACTGATGGGACAGACAAAAAGTACTATCAAGAGGGAAAAACTAAGTACACCAACTTAAACAAATGTACATATTTCTAGCACGATTGTTATATTTTTTCAAAGATATTATTAATTTTCTATTGAAGGGGCTAAAATAACAAGCAAATGTATTATCCTGTTTGGACCTTTTACTCCCTCGGGTTTGGGTCTTTATAACAGATCTTTGGGTTTTATGTCACTAGTATTTGTAGGGTAACCTTTTCATTCAAGCCATTTTAAGTCTAATTTTAAGTTAGATACTCATTGTGTGTAGCATCAAACTACGCGATGGCAACGCAATCACAGCACTCACTCCATCACCGGCCTCTTACCAAATCCCTCTTATCGGGCGACGTCGTGGCGTCCTCCTGTGACTGAAGCTGACTGGCTAAATGCTCAGCCAGAGAGCTAACGCCACCTGTGTACATCCTCACACACCGCTATCGGCCGTATTCAACAGAAAGAAGGAAACACATGGAAAGACAGTAAGAAATCAAAATGGAGAAAAAAAGACGAAACAGAAATGGTTTAAGGGAAGAAGGTGAAGAAACAGCTTCAGGAGATGTTTACAGAGATTATGGTTAGATATGAGAGAGATCTGTACATGCTCGGCCAAACGCTTCTAAGTTACGGGAGCATTATCTACGATCAACTCAACAACAAATCACAATCAAACAAAGCAGTTCCTGATGTTAAAAATTGGGTTTTGATTCTTGTTTTTCAAATACAACATCTGAAGAAATCTTGCACAGCTCCATTGTAACCACATGCAGACAGACAAAGCCATCAGACATCAACCCTAAAGACGTTATTAGAATAGTGGTTTTCAACTAGATAAACACAGATGTCCCAGTTTAGAGAAACTTTCAAAAAAGTCAGCTTCAAAATGAGGCCAAACTCAAAAAACGTGCGTCAGATGGATAACTTATTACTGGGTCCCGTTTGGATGGACGTTCGTCAACATGAGAGAGACTGGAGCTGAGACCTCTGGTGCCAAGATGCCTTTTAGAATCCAAATGATTATTACAGAGGTCTTTGTTGGCGAACTATATGAACATAATCACAAATGACTAATCTGAAAGCACATTTACACTGACAGACGGATGGGACATGAACACACAACATGCTCTGTGCTTTTCCAAAACGTTGCTTTCTCAACAGCCGTGGTCGTTATGTAATTACGGTTAGAAAACGCAGGTGGGGCCAAGGTGCGTCTGGGTTAATGCACTGCACCAGTTTGAAGCAGGCTTTGGAATCACCACCTGTCGCAGCGTGTCTGAGGCGGAGGGGGATTCTGCAGGACGCTGGGCTCGAGCCACGTGCCACTGATCCATAAAGAACCGTGAGGGCTTTTTCTTAGTCTCAAAGGAGATGGAGAGAAGAGAGTTAGGCCGTGAACAAGGACATTTGTTTGTTAATAGGTTGCGTTTATGTGACACTACAAAATCACAAAGAACCTAGAGTTTAACTTTGTGTTTTAGGGTAGCTGCAGAAATCATTGACTTTTGACAGTTACCATAGTTACCGGCAGATATCTGGTCTTTGTTTATAGCTAATTCTGGTCTAATTCCTGGTCTAACAAAACAAAGTTCCACATCTTCCTTGTCAGTGCACAGTAAATCTGTATTTATGTAGCAGTTTTTCTTCTAAAAATATGTCAACAATCTTTAGAACGTTTCTCTGTATCCATCTGCTATGAAGTTATTTTTCCTGGCAGTTTATATATTTGACCTTTAATCGCACATTTTAAAAACTATAGTACGCTTAGGTACTAATCAATAACCTGTAACTACTCCAGGCCTAACCTTCGCTCAATAGCACTCAATATCCTTAAACGACTTATTGATGTCACCATTTTTCTTTTTTGACTCTGGATTGGACCAGGTGCACGATATCAGTATGACTCACGGGGACTTCTCTTTCAGTAATTGCAATGGACTGATAAGCAGCTGTCTGTGGAAAGATCACCTGTGGTTTGGCCGGCTTCGCCTCAAACAGAGAAGCCAGTTGGTCGGCTCTCTCTTGAATACTAAGTACATATATGGGCTTTTGGTCATCAGACAGCACTGACCTTTCTGACTCCTGCAGACAAAATAAATTATTCTATCACAAAAGAACTGCACCAAAAGGCATGTAGTCCGCCTCATGCATTATTGAAATTGGTCCGCACTAAGAGGCAGCGTAATGTGCAAACTAATGAATCCAGTGAAATGTGTTTTTGTTAGTGCAACGCCACAACGCATGCCCGAACCTTTTCTGGAGATAAAAGTGGTGAACCTGGACTCACGCTTCTGGACATATACCATTGCTCTAAAAAGAAGCGGGATGGCTTAACCTTTGGCTTTGAGAGAGAATAGAGAACGGTAAATGGTTCTATTATCCACGGTTTTAAATGGCCAGCCGTGAGACCACACCAGGACCATGCAGTTCACCTTTGGAGGCTTGGCAGGTTTAGATTTAAACTTGGAGATGAGGCGATCGGCCCTCTCCTGTATACCCGGGATGTGGATCGGACCAGGGTCTGCGATATGCAACGGCGTCCACTCCTACAGAGGATTCTCCCATTAGACTCAATGCGGTTATTTACAAAAAGGCCAAAAGCAAATCCATGCACCACACTTGTACCCGGTATTTCTGCGGCATCTCGTAGTACTCGTGTTCATCTTCATCCTCTAAAGCAAAACTCTTTAAGGCACAAACAACACACCAAATATTTTACATTTCTCTCATTCTGCAACTGGTGCAAAAATAACAATAATAATAATGCATCAGTTTTATATAGCCATTTTTGGACACTCAAAGACGCTTCACATTATTCTTTCACTCCAAACACGGTGGTGATAATCTACTACTGAAGCCACAGCTGCCCTGGGGCACACTGACAGAAGCGAGGCAACCAGTCTGTGCCATCAGCCCCTCTGTCCTCCACCAACCATTCACACACAAAGACTCTTCTAGACAATATGGGTGAAGTGTCTTGCCTAAGGACACAAAGCAGCCGCAGCCGCCCCGCTGTAGCACCTGGTGTTCTCACAGGTCTCCCATCGCAGTACTAACCAGACCCTGCCCCAGAGCTCTGATAGGATCTTACTGTCCCTGCTCGGTTAGTCTTACTTTATTCAATATAGACATGTTAAACCTCATTTTGAAGTTCTGACTCAGCAGAATTCACAATTCACAAAAAAATGATTGGTGTAAAACTCCTGCACAGATCAGATATCCCACTGAAGCCATTGGGATCATAACAAGTTCACAATGCATTTTTACATAAGAAGCAGAATTACAAATTATCTACTTCCAATATCAAAGAATAGTCATATATGGGGGAAATAAATTAGTTGATATATCTGTAATCAGCAAAACAAAATTCATAAAATAAGCACAGTTTTAGTTCCAAGAATCTTCCAAATCGGTCAGTCCCAAATATTTTTACTGCTTCCCTCAAGACTCACATCAGAAAAACAAAACACAAACACAGATCACTTTTACAACTCACTGAATTAAAGGGAAATTTCAATCTATAGCAACGCATTGGGACAAAAGCAGAGAACTACTGTTAGATGTGTTTTTGGGGAAGACGCAGACGCACACGCAGACGCAGACGCAGACAGAGACGCAGACAGAGACGCAGACGCAGACAGAGACGCAGACGCACACGCAGACGCACACGCAGACGCACACGCAGACAGAGACGCAGACGCAGACAGAGACGCAGACGCAGACAGAGACGCAGACAGAGACGCAGACGCAGACAGAGACGCAGACGCAGACAGAGCAGGCCATTGTGTCACCTCTGAGTGAAGAGAGAGCGAGGAGGTGGAGGAGGAAGAAGGGAGCAGAATGGTTTTCTTTGGGCAGCTTCGAGAGCCTGCGCCGGACACCTGCTCTGCACCACTCCTGGCCTTGAAAATGAAGTCAAAGAAATGATAACAATTAAGCAGAAGTGGACTAACGGCAAAAATATAATAAGACTGAATTATATGAATCAATGTTAGCAAAAGAAACATAATGAGTCAAATAACTTGAACAGGACATGCAAAAATTCTGGCTTAGTGACGACAATTTTAAATGACAAAGAGCAGATGAAAACAACAGAGAAAATACATAGAGGTAAGGACGGGACCATTCCTCCGACAATCATAAACCACCATCGGAACACATTCAAAGAAACACAGCTACACAAAGGGAAAAGGTTACAGCAATAACAGAAGGTACTTCTTAAACTACACATACTGTTGTCTGTGGCGTGACCTAAAGGACCATGAGCGGGTGCGACTGGGATCTCTACTGGGGGAATAATAGCCACAGCGAGGGTGTTACCTGGTCCCCTTTGTTGGGAAGAATTTGACACTTGAGCATTTGTTTGTAGCGAATGCTGAGCTGCTCCTGCTGCTGCGTTCTCCTCTGAGCCATGACAGAATACAGCAGTTTCTCACTCACACCAAACTTGCCAAATACAACAACCTCTATCTATCTTTGTGACAAAACATCTGTCAGTACTATCAGTCCACACAAGATAAGGATTAAAGCTAGTAGACAAACATGTTAGTTGATTGACAGGCAGAGCTAAGCCAGATGTTACCTTTCTCCACGCTGGGACAGGGGCCAGTCTGACAGAAACTGGCTCATTCTTGGGCAAGGGAGTTGCCAAAAGGAGATCCAAGTTAGGGAGAGATTCCCCCTTTATGGTACAGAGGGGAGCAGAAGGCAGGTAGCATGCAACACATGGTGAAGTGGTCCGCAATGATGGGTGAAGAATGAAGACGGAACCAGAGACACAAAAAGAAGGACATTATGACAGAGTGGGAAATGTACACAGCAGGATATGATGCTGGAAGAGGCTAAATGTTTAAAACTACAGATATATGTATAACCCATGGACTATATATAGATGGTCAATGCTAACCCTCGAGCTCAATGAATAATAGGGAAGTGCTAATGGGAGAAGTTTTGCTCAGTAAGCGAGTCACACTCACCATTTTGGGCTCTGAATTTGGGGATGTTTCGCTCTCTATGATCCTGGGGTTTCAATTTTTATATTGTCTTTGTAAATCTAGATATATTATATGATATTTTGATCTAATAGAGCCATAAGGATGGACCAATCAGATGCCTCAATTCGGAAACACCAGCCTTCCTTAGCACCCAACTTAGCTCTCTCTTTCCTCTGTTACGGTGCAAAGCTAACACCGTGGGAACATATGCCCATATAAGGAAAGTGGCTTCAGCTAAGTGGCTATCTGTTCAAATTGCCTTCTTCTGCATCTATTCCTAATATAAACTCTGATATAGCCCTCTCTACTGTGAAACGTGTTTGAGTGTGCCCAGCCACTGTACAGAGGGTTTGCAAAGTGTACGCATGAGGAAAACTTGGATTGCACATCTTCCATTATTGCCCAGTGCAATGCCGAGAGAATATTTTTGCAATGTATTGTGCAGCCCTATTTCATGAACACCAACTGTCCCATACACAAAAGAGTCTCTAGTCTCCATTACAGACATCCAACCCAATATTTGAACTATGTACTTGTGTTTGTCTGTTATATTTATATATGAGTGTTGTTTCAGTTCCAAATAAATCATCTACATTACATCGACTTATTTAACTGTTAACTATGTCTTGCCAAACTCCCAGCAGCTCGTCCCACTGCTGTAGGTCCAGGTTCAGGCCGAGCAGAGTAAACCCACTGCCCCTGAGGCCTGCAGCTCTGTCAGTGCTGAGAAACCACCCACAACATTCCAGAACAATGTCCTGCTTCTTTATACACAGGCCAAACGCTCATCCATCATAACATATCCTGAGAGCGAGGCTGAGACATGTGCACACTGGAGGCCACAAAATGAACCACCAAAACAACTGCACCATTTTTGGCAAAACATCTTAATGCAATTATTCAGGCCGATATTACGATTCGCGAAGAAGGATTTTGATTAGAGGGGAATAGATTTAACAACTTCGAGACTGCATTTTAAAACACACCCATTCAGAAAAGGTTTGTAGGTCTAAAATATTTTACAGAAATGTTACTCTAATAACATTGGATACACAGATAAACTCTAAGTTAACTTTAAATTGTTTTCCTCAAATAAAAATAATTGTTTCTTAATTCAAGCCCATTTTTAGCTTATTATGTTGTCCTTTTTGTTTGTATGGGATTCCCGATTGAAACTAAGATTTTAGGGTTTGAACAGAAAGACAGAAGTATTATCTTAAACAATATATTTCTGTGTTTTGTTGTGCTGTTTGCTTATTGTGCTTTTAGGAGCACAGGGACTGGCCTCCTGCTGGGACTCTGAGGAGCACAGGGACTGGACTCCTGCTGGGACTCTGAGGAGCACAGGGACTGGACTCCTGCTGGGACTCTGAGGAGCACAGGGACTGGACTCCTGCTGGGACTCTGAGGAGCACAGGGACTGGACTCCTGCTGGGACTCTGAGGAGCACAGGGACTGGCCTCCTTCTGGGACTCTGAGGAGCACAGGGACTCCCCTCCTTCTGGGACTCTGAGGAGCACAGGGACTGTCCTCCTGCTGGGACTCTGAGGAGCACAGGGACTGGCCTCCTTCTGGGACTCTGAGGAGCACAGGGACTGGCCTCCTGCTGGGACTCTGAGGAGCACAGGGACTGGACTCCTGCTGGGACTCTGAGGAGCACAGGGACTGGCCTCCTTCTGGGACTCTGAGGAGCACAGGGACTGGCCTCCTGCTGGGACTCTGAGGAGCACAGGGACTGGCCTCCTTCTGGGACTCTGAGGAGCACAGGGACTGGCCTCCTGCTGGGACTCTGAGGAGCACAGGGACTGGCCTCCTGCTGGGACTCTGAGGAGCACAGGGACTGGCCTCCTTCTGGGACTCTGAGGAGCACAGGGACTGTCCTCCTACTGGTCCCAGAGTCAGAACTAAACATGGGGAGGCAGCTAAAATCTGGAACAGTCTTCCTGAAATAGTGAGACAGGCTTCTTTTCTGACAATGTTCAAATCCAGGTTAAAAACAGTCCTGTTTAGCAGTAGATGAAGGGATTTCGTCTTTACTATTTTTATTGTACTGTGATTAAGTTCCCTTGCTTAATCTTGTTTTAAGTTCCCTTGCTTAATCTCGTTTTAAATTCCCTTGCGTATGAACTGTGCTATACTAATAAACTTGCCTTGCCCCTCGGTTTGCCTTCAGCTTGGATTGCCATAAATCGCTCCGCCCGACTCAAACACATCAGCCTTATAAAGTAAATGTTTTGCCCGTACCTGTCTCTTGAGTCCAGATGGCTGAACGGGAGCGTTCTCCTCAAACTTGGCGAGCAGCTGCGTCGCCATGACCTTGACTTTGTTGTTGTTCGCCACAGCGGCCGGATCCATCCTCCGCTCGGGCAGAACTGGGACAGACGGCCTCTCGTCGCAGCAGCTTCTCAAAACTTCGTCCTGCGGGAAAACGTGGAGTCTCTGTCAAAGTCTTTTTGTGAATTATTTTGTCTTTTAAAACTCAAAAGGACTGAGGGTTTCAGTCTCGTCACAATTACTCACATTTTCTGACTGACTGGTTTTCCTCCGCTTCCCCAAACCGTCCACATCCTTCTCTTTTTTGTCCTGTCAAGAAGATATTGTGTTATTAATAATCCTCCCAACAGACTCATCATGACATTTACTCAAAAATACATCTTTCTGACCTTTGGGTATCGTTTCCTTGAGATTGCAATACTTTGACCAAGTTTACTGAAGAAGGAGATTGGGGATTTGGTGCTGGCTATAAGAGCAGCCTTTTCCTCGGGACTTAGGTTAACGTTATCTAAAAAGAGAAAAAGTACATGTTGTGAAAGAAACAGATCAAACAATAACATAACAATAAAATCACTTTTAAACGTTTGCTTTCTTCCCACTTTTCAAAGTTATTGATTTTAGTAAAAACATGGGATTAAACATAATTTCACAAGTTTGTTCAGTGTTGGAGAAAAATACTGTGTCTAAATTATAGAAACTACACCATCTATAAAACCAAAACATATGTAGTGTTATTTTATCTGAATCTAAACACATAAATATGGAATATATACTGTTTCAGAGAAATATTGTGACGCAAAAATCCCAGTAAAAGCCATTGTTATCATTAAAAGTGCTTGGCATATTCCCACGAGTCTGAAGTATTGGAACTCAATCAAATCAATGCTAAAGCTAGTCCAAAAACTAGAAAGTATAAAATACTAAATAAAATAGCATAAACAACAAGACAATTTAAACTATATCGGACACATGTGTAAAACCTTGGCCCCATAAAGAAGTATTATTTTGTTAAGTTATGAACATTACACAATTAGCATCTGTTGATAATCACAAATGTATCAAAACGAGTATTTCTTCTACAATAACATTTTGTTGACAATGAGGGACGAATAAAGGTTCTCTCTGAAAATACTTCTTACACCTGCTTTAGCCAAAGTCTTAAATCATTACAAAGAACAGACAGTAAATATGTTACTGAACGATTGTTATAGTTATGATTGTTATAAATGATGGTCTATCTAAAAGCTAACCCAAACTCTGCACTAAAGCATGCAACAACAATGTCTTACCACTGGGGGGCACTGTGTCTCTAAACATCTCGTAGAACTGGCTGAGGTACATAACCATGGAGAGTTTGTCTGGCTCCACCACTGAGGACATCTCCTTTCCGGTCATACAGGGTGAGATTCCAAACTCCTTCTCTGCCACGTCGAAAGCCAGCTGATTGTTCTTCTCCAGGTCCCGTTCGTCCAGAGAATCAAAGTCACTGAGCAGAAAACAGAAGTCACACGGGAAGAGTAAGTGTGAGAACCATGTCACATCATGACAGTTGGGAGTGAAGTGGAAACGATTAATTAACTTCTTATGACAGGCCTCAATGAGACTGTGGGGAATCTTTAACTTATAAAAATATAGTGGGTATAGGGTAGTGGTTTAATAAGTATTCATTGGTTATGTTTTTGAAGATTATATTACTAAAACTAAGTGAAAAGAATGTTGTTTTTGCTCTTTGATAATGTGACCTTGTTACTACAAAGATCAAACCCACTGGATTTTACCAAAACAGACTTTTCTGAAGTGAATCTTCTGTGGTTGGACTTGAAAACCTTAAGATAAAAGGCTTTATTTGTGACCATTATTTTTGTATTTAAGAAAACACAGAATCATCAATAAGACATCAATAAGACATGAAAAGGCCAAACTTGAGGTTGACACTACCTGCACTTAAAAGCCAGCTCCTGTCTGAAGCTAAGCAGGACAGGGCCTGGTTAGTGCTGTGATGGGAGACCTTTGGGAACAGCAGGTGCCACAGTGGGGCGGCTGCGGCTGTAAAGTGCCAAACTGTTGATGTGTCCTTAGGCAAGACACTTCCCCCACATTTCTTAGAAAGAGTCTGGTGTGTGTGTGGTTGGTGGTGGTCAGAGAGGTGAGGCGCACACACAGTAGTAGTGTCACCATTTTGTATGAAGTGAATAAAAAAATGCATCTTTAAGTGTCCCAAAAAGCGCTTCATAAAACCATTGCAGTATTATTACGTTTAGCACTTGTGAAAGAAATAAAAGACATATATACAATTTAAAATATTTTTTTGTCTGTCATCTGTCATCCACCCCATTATGGACCCATGGCTCTATGTGTTTTTTATCATTTTATTTTGATTCTCTGATCTGTGTCGGTTTGGTAAAGTCCTCCAAAATAACTACTGTTGTGACACTGTTGGGTTTTCTCCTGTGTGAGATTAATAAAGTATAAAGTATATCTTTATACAAAAAATACATTGATTTGAATTGAATCAAATTTACATTATCACCAGAATATTTCACAACAACATAATAAAAACATGAAAATCAGCCCCTTCAGCTGAACCCCTGAAAACTCAGAGGCGTCTTGTGCGAGCAGCGGGAAGCATTACTGTAAATGTCGTTGTGGCGCAGCTGAAAACCACATTAACAATCCTTTGGTCCGCCGGCTCCCCCGACTCCCACACGACCCACTCTGCATCCTCTGCATCCTCTGCATCCTCTGCATCAGCTGAGCCCTCACCACACACAGGTCACACAGACACACACTAATGGCCTCTGATGTTCATGTTGTGTGGTCTCCACAGGGTCGTTAGTTTGTGTGTATGTGATCGTGTTTATGGTGCGTGACCGGTAATGACACTGGTTTTACAGCACACATGTGAGAGTGAGAGGGGGAGAGGAGGGGAGAGAGGGGAGAGAGGGGAGAGGAGAGAGAGGAGAGAGAGAGGGGAGAGAGAGGAGAGAGAGGGGAGAGAGGGGAGAGGAGAGAGAGGAGAGAGAGGGGAGAGAGGGGAGAGAGAGAGAGGAGAGAGAGGAGAGAGAGGAGAGAGGAGAGAGAGGAGAGAGAGGAGAGAGAGGAGAGAGGAGAGAGAGGAGAGAGAGAGGGGAGAGAGGAGAGAGAGGAGAGAGGGGAGAGAGAGGAGAGAGGGGAGAGAGTGGGGAGAGGAGAGAGAGGAGAGAGGGGAGAGAGAGGAGAGAGGAGAGAGAGGAGAGAGGGGAGAGAGAGGAGAGAGAGGAGAGAGAGGAGAGAGAGAGAGAGGAGAGAGTGGAGAGAGAGGGGAGAGAGGGGAGAGGAGAGGAGAGAGGGGAGGAGAGGAGAGAGAGGGGAGAGAGAGGGGAGAGAGGAGAGAGAGGAGAGGAGAGGAGAGGAGAGGGGAGAGAGGGGAGAGAGGGGAGAGAGGAGAGAGAGGGGAGAGAGAGGAGAGAGGAGAGAGAGGGGGAGAGGGGAGAGAGGAGAGTGGGGAGAGGAGAGGAGAGAGGGGAGGAGAGGAGAGGGGAGAGAGAGGGGAGAGAGAGGAGAGGAGAGGAGAGGGGAGAGAGAGGGGAGAGAGGGGAGAGGAGAGAGAGGAGAGAGAGGAGAGAGAGGAGAGAGGAGAGAGGGGAGAGAGGGGAGGAGAGGAGAGAGAGGAGAGAGAGGAGAGAGAGGAGAGAGAGGGGAGAGAGGGGAGAGAGGAGAGAGGGGAGAGAGAGGAGAGGAGAGAGGAGAGAGGAGAGAGAGAGAGAGGAGAGAGAAGGAGAGAGGAGAGAGAGAGAGAGAGAGAGAGAGAGAGAGAGAGAGAGAGAGGAGAGAGAGAGAGGAGAGAGAGAGAGGAGAGAGAGGGAGAGAGGAGAGAGAGGAGTGAGAGAGAGAGAGAGGAGAGAGAGGGGAGAGGAGAGAGGAGAGAGGAGAGAGGAGAGAGAGAGGAGAGAGAGAGAGAGTGGGGAGAGGGGAGAGGGGAGGGGTGAGGAGAGAGGAGGAGAGAGAGAGAGAGAGGGGAGAGAGGGGAGTGGGTGAGGTAGAGTGGTGTGGGTGTGGGTGAGAGGAGAGAGAGGAGAGGGTTGTGGTGTGTGGGAGTGTGTGGAGAGAGAGTGTGAGTGGTGTGTGTGTGTGTGTGGTGGTTTGAGAGGAGGTGGAGAGTTGTGTGGGTGTGTGGGTTTGTGGTTGTGTGTGAGGTGTGGGTGTGTGTGAGTGGTGTGTTTGTTGTTGTGTGGTTGTGTGTGGTGTGTGTTGTGTGTGGGTGTGTGTGGTGTTGTGTTGTTGGGGTGTTGTGTGGTGTGTGGTGTGTGTGGTGTGTGTGGTGTAGGTGGTGTGTGGGTGATGGTGTGTGGGTGTGTGTGGTGTGTGGTTGTGTGAGGGTGTGTGGTGTGTGTGGGGTTGGTGTGTGTGGGTGTGTGGGTGTGGGTGTTGTTGGGTGGTGTGGTGTGGTGTGGTGGGTGTGTGTGGGTGTGTGGGTGTGTGTGGGTTGGTGTGTGTGTGTGGAGTGGTGTTGGTGTGGGGTGTGGTTGTGTGGGTGTGTGTGGGTTTTGTGGTTTGTGTGTGGTGTGTGTGGGTGTGTGTGGTGGTGTTTGGTTTGTGTTGGGGGTGTTGTGTGTGTGGTTGTGGGGTTGTGTGTTTGTGTGTGTTGTGGTGGTGTGGTGGGTTGTGGTGTTTGGGTGGTTTTGTTGTGTGTTGTGGTGGTGTGAGGTGTGTGGTGGTGTTGTGTGTGTGTGTGGTGTGTGGGTTGTGTGGGTTGTGTTGTGTGTGTGTGTGTTTAGTGGTGTGTGTGGTGTGTGTGGTGTGGTGTGTGTGTTGTGTGTGTGTGTGGTGTGGTGGTTGTGGTGTGTGGGGTGTGTGGTGTGTTGATGGTGTGTGTTGTTTGTGAGTTGTGGTGTGGGTGTGTGGTGTGTGTGGTTGTGTGGTTGTTGTGAGTGTGGGGGAGGTGATATGAGTGAGATGGTTATGAGTGGATGTAGAGAGGTGATGAGCTGGTGAATGAGATGTGTGGAGTGAGTGTGGAGAGTGAGGTAGAGAGGGTGAGAGTGGACTAGAAACAAGTATCATCATTTGCAGGGATGTGAATGAAACAGATGTAAATAAGTTATGTTCGTGTTCTTCTAATTTATATGAAACAAATGTTAGACCTCTGTGTTATTCGTCTGGTTTGGAATTAAGTGAATCTACAAAGACAACA